AGCAAACAAATTCGGCCGAGTAGCAAACAAAATTCCCGTGTAGTAGCACATCAGTGTGCTGTATCCTACAGAGCACATGTACGATTTCGATTTCCTCAGCCTCCATCCCCGTACTGCATCGTTCAGGAGCAATGGCTATCTTAAGGCTACCACCTATCACAAGTAGCACATCGTCCAGCATACAACTTGGCCGCCGAAGGGATGCCTTTCCCAGAAACGGAAGCACCAAGGGCGCCTCAGTATGCCCTCCATCAAGCTCAATCAATACTGGCAGAAAGCGGCTCTTCATCGGGTGCAAGGGATACTACAGGAAGCACAAAGTTGCATAGGCAACTATGTGGTATGTCGGTATGGCCAGCAGGTGACTGCTCGCCAAGGTCATCGATTGGAGTCTGATATTATAGCATTGAGTAGGTAGCCAGGTCAGTCGATGGATGTGAACTCATTAATTGTTGCATTCGCTTGAGAATAAATACAGAGTAAAGTGTCAATATTTCAGTGCTACATCTGGTGTTCCCATGGTTTTAGACTGACGTACTCGGTGCAATAGACTTGTTGCTGAGCAAGGACCTTTATCTCGCTAGCACCTTGCCAAGGCCATAACAACGTAAACAATCTACCGTTCTGCTTTGCATATGGATCTCATATCTCAATTTGGACTATGAGATTGACTGCTAAGAGCGTTACGGGGCCGTAGTCAATTTTGTGTCAATGAGCAGGTGTCTCGAAGGGCCACTGGCGTGCACGGGCCATCTGCTGGTTGCGCACCCAGAACAGAAGCAATATTAAGTCTATCAGCCTTGTCCAGGTTTCATCCTAGAGGAGGAATATCCATCTTTAATACTCCTTGACACGACTAGACTCCTTACTATTGTGATCTCTCGAGCAGAGATGGAGGACGTTAACTGTGGGTCTGTGCTATGGATGTGATGGAACGGGCCGGACAGCATGAAACGCGATTATGTGGGTCGCTGTCGGATATCATAATTGTCCAATGCCATGTGGTGTGCGGGGGTGGGGCGGCGTGCATCTTCAGATTGATCACATGAGGGGGGCCCCTTGAGGTTTAGGTTATTTAAAATCCCCAGTATAGGCGCCTCTCCTTCCCATGCCATCTAGGCTGAGGAGCAGAGCTCGAGACAACCATTTCCCCTCATCTTTCCCGGTCTCCTCGCAAAATGAGAGGTTATAAGCCGAGAGCACGTATCTCCCCAGCCCTTGTTCCTAACGCGCGGGGTAACTGCCAGCAAACGTTCAGGCTTCGCCGCCGTTTTACATCCGGTGAAGGAGTGGTGTTTCCCTGGTTCGGGTAGACACGGTACGGCAGCCCCATCATTACTTTGAGCGAAGGTGCGCCCTCCACGTGGGCGCTTCTGGCAGGATAGAAATGATGAGTCCCGGCTGTCCTGTCCGACCTCCCACTCCCGTCGCCTTTTATTTCTAAAGTCAGGCAGATAGGGGCGGTGGGAACAACGGCACCGCATCTCGTTAGCTGCGCATCCTTTTTTCTCTTCTTTCCATGTATTTTACAAAATGAGCGGGCCGGGTTGATTCTGGTCTGGTTTCGGGCCGCCTTATCTTTTTGGCAACCGGCCAATCTGATAGTGCGGGGCAGGCCAAGGCAATATGACGTCGTCGTCGCCTTTTGACCTGCGAGCGCAAGTGCAAGTACAATGCGTCGAATCTATAATAGAGGCCCAACGGCCGCCTTACCCAAGTCCCCGGGTTCTTTTTTGCAGCCTTAGCGTCGTGTGTCTAAAGGTTAGTCTGGCCAGGTCTGCCAGTCACGCCTTACAGCAACGAACTTGTTATTGGCGCTCAGAGCGTAAGTCTCGGCCCGGAGCGAACGAGGCCATTATAGCGTGCGCCATGAGGTTACCCCGGTGGATGACTTTCTCGGACATACCCGTTCCCCATCTCATGCCAATACTCAGTTCCATGACTGCCCACCCGATAAGTCGCATGTGCTGGCGTGTGGAGGATATGCGGACCTACTGGTCGAGAAGCACTGCACGAGGCGCCCTGCAACGCTTTCCGTCCAATAAGACTCCCAGATAGGATATACGATATATACCTCCCCCTCAGAGGGGCCCGCTTTCGCAGCCTTATTATTCTTAACTCACCCACCTACCCTTTATCTTTGCGGCATGAAGATCATTGGTAAGCTTCCTTGGGATTGGGCAGAGCCTGACGCCGGTGCGGTCATCGAACCGAATATGGTCGCTATCGTGAGGTGCCACGTAGTTTTCCTGGGCATCAATAATACCCCGCGCGGGCCGCATCACACCCTCATCTAGACGTAGGGCCGTGGCTTTCTCCTCTGCAGCGATACAGAGGGGAGAGATATAAACGTGTGTTAACGGGAATTCCGAGAAGATATCTATAACATCAACTAGTACCCGTAATCTCTGCACATTCAAGTTACGGTTTGTTCCTTTCTTGCAAAATTACGAACATCCAATAGCACATCCATCCCCTGTCCTCCCGGGAAGGGCCGAACTATTAACACCCGAATCCGCTACAATGGCGACCGTATCCGCGGATAACCTCCACAACTTCCTGGGGACGATGGGGCTCAAGACCCCCGTCCCCGCCTTCGAGTCCGCCAACATGACGAGCAGGCCGCTCGACATCGGTCGCTCGTACCTGGCCGACGTCTTGCTGGGGCTCCTCGAGGGAGAGGATCCCGTCAAGGCATACAACTCCATCCAGTGGTCCAACGACACAGCTTCGGGCGACCTCTATGTCCCCATCCCGAAGATCAACCATGGCGAGGGGGACGCCGAGGATCTCGCGTTTGACCTCATGCAGAAAGTGAGTTGTTATTTATTACCTGTCATATTCCCCGGCGCCGATATAGCGAGATCGTATAGCGCGAACGAGCAAAAGTGGCTAACTTACAACGTCTCTTACCAAAAACAGTTCCCCCAGGACCATCCCTTGTTTGTCCTGCCGGTCCCCGACGGGGTGCTGCTCCGCATATTCTTCAACAGCAGGCTCCTCCCGCGGCTGCTCGTCCCCTACATCAAGGACCGCGGCGCCGAGTACGGCAAGGTCCTCTCGAACGGCCTGCGGGACCCGACGTCCCCCGACTCCGGGAAGCTCAAGGTGGTCGTCGAGTTCTCGTCCCCGAACATCATCACCGAGTTCCAGGCCGCGCACCTCCGGAGCACGCTCCTCGGCGCGTACGTCTCGAACCTCTACGAGAACATGGGCTGGGACGTCGTGCGGATCAACTACCTCGGCGACTGGGGCCAGCACATCGGGCTTTTCGGGGCGGGCTGGGCGCGGTTCGGGACCGGGGACGAGATCGGCGATTATAGGAGCCTCACGGAGGTGTACACCAAGGTCAACGAGCCACTCAAGGCGGATCGGGAAGAGGCCCGGAAGTCGGGGGCGGGTAGCGTTTCCTCTGCCGGCGCCGACGGCGCCCAGGCTGCGACGGACCTTGAGCCAAAGGTGCTGATCGCCGAGAGGGAGGAGTTCTTCAAGAGCATGGAGGCGCGCGACGAGGCGGCGCTGAAGCTCTGGTCCAGCGCGCGACAGGTCAGCGTCGAGGAGTACGAGCGCGTGTATGAGCGCCTCAACGTCCGGTTCGACGAGTACTCGGGCGAGTCGCAGGTCACGCCGGAGCTCATGGCCGAGGTGGAGGAGATACTAAAGCGGAAGGGTCTCTCGGAGGAGCGCGACGGGTCCGTCGTCGTCGACCTCAAGAAGCACAACCTCAAGGGCACAGGCATCATCCGGAAGAACGGGTGCAGCACCTACTTCCTCCGGGACCTCGCGGCCGCCGTCGACCGGTTCCGGAGGTTCGACTTCGACAGGATGGTCTACGTCGTCTCGGTGGACCAGGAGCCGCACTTCGCAAAGGTCGTGAAGACGATCGAGCTGATGGACGACGAGTTCGCGGGGCTCTCGAAGAAGCTGCACCCGCTGTACTTCGGCAGGGTCTCGCAGGCCTCGGAGAAGCTGCGGTCGTCGGGCCACCTGGGAGACATACTCGACGAGGCGCAGCAGTCGATGAAGGAGTCGCTGGCGGCGAGCGTGGAGGAGGCGGCTGCGCTCGGGTCCACGGACGAGACCGCGGCAGCCATGGGCATAAGCGCGCTCCTCGCGCAGGAGATGGCTGCCAAGAGGGTCCACGACCATTCGTTTGACATCACGAAGATGACGTCCTTCGAGCTAGGCACCGGCCCGCATATTCAGTACACCTTTGCGAGAGCCAAGGCGGCTCTCCAGAAGGCGGCGGCTGGCGAGGATGGGCTGGACGGGCTGGACCTATCGACACTTACCATCGAGGCGCGCAAGTTAACCACGCCCTGCCCGTACACTGAGCTCCTTCGGCTGCTGGTGCAGTACCCCGACGTCACGACAACGGCTTACAAGACGATGGAACCCTCGCCCATAATGGGTTACCTTCAGAATGTGACGAGTCAGGTGGCCCGCTGCCTGGATGAGGGCCAGGCGGAGGGTGAATCGTTCTCCGGTACCCAGCTGGCCATCCTCACATCGGCCGTGCAAGTGTTAGAGAACGGGATGAGACTGCTTGGGATACTTCCTCTGACGGTCTGAGAATGACATAACGGCGCAAGCCGTGGTTGCAGGAAACAGTGTTTACTTTAGCAATGAGGGCGACAGGGGATGCTTATACTCATGATGGGAAGTTTCTCAGCGGGGAGAGTCAACGTTTAGTTGCTTATGGGGGGTAAGCGAATGCACGTTCAGAATGTGATGGCAGATGATAGTGGTTGGTGGCTGGTCGATCATCCCGCGGGAGAAAGTATTATTGTATTGGGCATTCTTGCACTTATGACTTATGACTACATTAGCACAGCGTTCATATATCTTTTAAACATATATATCTATTTTACTTCTCGAAAATATGCGATCCCCCGCCCGGTGTCTCACCCAGAAAGAGGACAAAAGAAGAAAAAAAATCTGTTAAGGTGGTTGTATATTTGTAGTACACAGAACTTTAACAAGGAGAGAGAGCAAAAAGATGGACAAGCGGGGAATCGAACCCCGGACCGCCTCTAATCATCCAATCCGATCTACAAGATCTTCTGGTGCTAAAGAGGAATTATACCACTAAACCACTCGCCCTGATTTGATGGGTGTCTTGTATGCGTGAGCGAATGAAAGCTGGTGATTTCGTCGACTTCGGAGAGTTGATCGGTTCGGTTTGAGCCTCGAGATCTTTGCGCTAGTTTAACGTGTGTACTGTGTGGTGTGTACTCGGGGATGAAGAGGAAGTGTGCGGGTAGTTACATGTATTAATAGAGCATGTCAGCTTTAGGCGGTGTACTTTTGTCTTACTCCGTCATACCGTTTCATCCGCCCAACCCGGCTCGGCGCTGCGGCCTGTCCTGTCTCCACACATGACGCCCTGTGTCTGAGAAACATGACTGGACACTGACAGTTCCCGTCTCCCCCAGGTACCCCACACACATGCAGAACGAAAGGCCAACACTGCCCCCGTGCCAGTTGGTGGCGCTGAGACATCAGTCCAGATCTTCATCTCCCTAATTACCCTTCCAACTCAGGCGACGAACTTTCTTACCGTGTCATCTCTAGAGGCAGGTCCTGGAGAAATAGTCCCCGCAATCAAATATCGCCGACGGAAGGGAGGAATACACAACCGGCACTGTCATACGATTCACCTCACCCCCCCGCCTCCGCGGTCGGCGCTTGCGATAGTGTGTGTCGTCATCCACGATTGTGAAGCACGTCAACCGCTCCGCTCCGAAACGATCTTTCTCCACGACATCCACACCCACGACATTCACACCGACGAGTCTGACACGAAAGTCTTCGCTATGGCTTGGGAGACGACGCGCCGCCGGTTAGTCCGGTCGGTGAACAGCAAATATATCTACGGTCGCATCGTGCGTTCGCGCCCACTCCATGTCCCACCACCCGGGTCGTCCGGGCGGCTACGGCCTCCTCGGGAACACCGTCGGCTAACCCTGGCATTTTCTTGTGTAGCCGTTACTCCATACCGTCGTTTTCCTCGTACAAATATCCCTCGTGGTACGATTAACCACGAAATTCAACGCCTACTATGAAGAACGACCGGGTGAGTCCTGTCCCCTCCCTTCGAAACAAGAAGGCTTCGTCAAACCCTCCCCTGGTCTAACATCGCATGCCCCGTAACTAGTGATGACGATGATGGTCACGAACGCCATCCTCGGCGGAATGGCCGACACCGTGGCCCAGCTCCTCTCGGCCATCAACTCCAGCCGCTCCCTCAAGAAGGGCGGCCTAGCTAAGCACGACGCCCTCGCCATCGAGATGCACGAGCTGGACCGCAAGGACGGGTTGCTGGGACACCAGTTCGACAGCGCGACGAGGGGCCTGGCCTCGCCGTTCGACTTCGAGAGGCTGATACGGTTCATGGCGTACGGGCTGGGGATGGCGCCGGTGACGTTCAAGTGGTTCCGGTTCCTGGAGTGGATGTTCCCGATCACGAAGACGAGCGCGTTCGCGCCGGCGCTGAAGAGGGTCATTGCGGACCAGTTGCTGTTTTCGCCGTGCAGTAAGTTTGGCCTTTCCGGGATGGGGGTGGGTTGGGGTTTGGGGGGTTGGGGAAGTTGAGTGCGGAGATGGGAGACTGAAGCGGACTGGGAGTGCTGACGGGTTTCTTCACATAGGTATCTTTATCTTCTTCGTCGTCATGACCGTCGCGGAGGGCGGCGGGAAGCGCGCGGTGTCGAACAAGCTGAGGGACATGTACTTCACGACGCTGAAGACAAGCTACCTGGTCTGGCCTGCCGTCCAGATCATCAACTTCCGACTGATGCCGATCCAGCTGCAGCTAGTGAGTTTTGTCCCACTTGAGCAGGGTGGAACTGAAGAAAGAGAGACGGGTGCTAACGTAGTACAGCCATTCGTGTCCTGCATTAGTATCGCGTGGACGGCGTACTTGTCCCTTGCCAATGCGGCCGATGGAGCGTGAGCATTGCTGCTACACGGCTTTCGAGGCCGAGCGGCGAGCGGTGGATGAAAGTGAGCCGGTGGGGCGGTTTTGGAGATTCATTTTCCTTGCGTACTTTTGCTTCATCATGGCTAGATTTATGTATGGCGTTACGGGATCTGTTCTAACAGGAGGCTCGGCTGGTTTGGTAGCATTCTGAAGGGGTGGCCTGGGGCTGTGGGTTTGAACCCATTTTGCTTTACCTCGACATCATCGACGGGGTGGTCTCTGGTGGGTCTAGTCGTGGCGACTAGTTTGGCGTTAGGAGGGAGGTTTTTATTCTTATTCTTCATTTTTAGGTATATAGACCATAGCTACGGCCTGTGTCTGCTTGTTTATTTCATGGCAGGGTATAAAACATGGTCGTCCTGATTGATATCTTCTCTTCTCTTCTTTGGCCTGGGGATGATGCTGCTTCGATGTGTCGAGAAGTTGACCGCGATGTGGTGTGTCTGCGGGCACCTAGCTCAAGTGCGGCAATATTCGAGGGACGGCCCCATATTTAGGGACGAATAGCCTTGGCACGTAATCCGGGGAAAGCTGCTACAGGTGTTACTCGTAAAGTGGACCTGGGGGTTAACACAAGGAGATATCGAAGTGCGAAGGCGGGAAAGAAACGCCTCGATATTAATCGGCGCTAGGAGGCCCGCCACCAGCCACAGTACGTACCAACTACCTGGATCTAATGTGTGGCGCGTGCACATGCCACCTGGTCAATTGCGATCGGGGAGCTCCAACGACCAACGCGTAGCCAAACGACCATAGGAGCTTTAGCTTACCCTTCAAGCGCAACACCTTTCCAAACCAACACCCCTCGACACTCTGTCCCCCCTCTCGACGACCTCCCTACTCTCGCCCTCTCAGTATTTTCTGCGCCTATTGAAAGATTACTTGTTTTTTTTCGAGCGCATACGAAGAACGGAAGCTTTTCCCCGTACGCGGTTTACACGAGCGAACACTGAGGAAGGGACAGAAGGGGACATAAGAGGATAGAACGAAAGAAAGGGAACCAGGAGACACAGTCACAGACACGATGTTTGCGGGCCTCGCGAATCCGAGGCAGGCGGCCTCGCAGGCCCTCACCTTTGGCCTTATCCTGAGCTCCGCGTTCATGGTACGGCACTTTTCCCTGCCCTCCTTCTCCCGCCCCCCCCCCCCCCCCCCTTCCCAAAACCCTCGACTTAGCCTCTCTCCCCCCGACTTCTACCCAGACGCTAACCGGTGGTGGAAAACATAACAGATGTGGAAGGGCCTCTGCACGCTAACTGACTCGCCCTCGCCGATAGTAGTGGTCCTCTCGGGGTCCATGGAGCCGGCGTTCCAGCGGGGGGACCTGCTGTTCCTGTGGAACCGCAACCTGGTGGCGCCGACGGAGGTGGGGGAGGTGGTGGTGTATAACGTCAAGGGCAAGGATATACCGATTGTGCATCGCGTCGTGAGGACGTTTGGGACTGGGTATGCTCCCCCTTTTCTTGGCCTGTTGCACCCTCCTTCCTAGCACACACATGCGCGCACGCACACATACACACATACACACGACATCCCTCTCTTGCACTCTTCCCCAGCAACTGTCACTTATACTATCCGTACCCGCCCCCCTTCCCTCCTAAACTACCTCTCTCTACTGCTGGCGATATCGCTAACGACCTAAACAGACCCCACGCAAAGCTCCTCACAAAAGGCGACAACAACGCAGGCGACGACTCAGAGTACGTTCTCCCCCTGACCCCAACCCCATCGCCACCTTCCAAACTAACCCCGCCGCTTTCAACCATAGACTATACGCCCGCGGACAGGACTACCTCGAGAGGGAGGACATCATAGGCAGCGTGGTGGGTTACGTGCCCTTCGTCGGCTACGTGACCATCATGCTATCCGAGCACCCGTGGCTCAAGACCGTCATGCTGGGCCTGATGGGGCTCATGGTCGTTCTGCAGAGAGAGTGAGGAGCGGGCGAGAGAGAGAAAGGGGGGGAGTGGGAGTGGGGACACTGGAAGGGGGGGACCGCGGAGGAGGGAAAATGTATGGGACATAACGGGAAGTTTCGGCGTAGAAAAAATATCCTTTTCACGTATCCGTTTTGAAACCCGGGTTTCTACTTTGAAGATGACGCCAGCTGGGATGGGGAGCACTCGACACTTGTGAAATAAGGCCTCGACTGAGCTACTCCTTTTTCCCCGCTTCTTTTCACCTGGATGTCCCTTCCTTTCCCCCCCACTTCCTCCTGCTTAATTACTTCCATTTACATTCATACCACCTTTTACTTCTCTTCACCTCGTAATTACCCGTCAGTGTGTTTAAAACTGCTATGAAGCGGTGGCGTTTAAACTAGCGAAAATATACATTGTATGCCCCTTTTCTGGTGCTGTGCCTAAATGCTTCTTTTACTCCTACTCTTCTTACCCCCTGGAACTTCAGATCAAGTCCAGAACAGAAAAATCATTCCATTGGCTAATACAGTGGATAGTGAATAGCCATAATCCGCGCCGTCTTCGATGCAGCCGAGAGCCATAATGATAGAAAAGACAACTAATGCCAGTAAACCCCTTTGCAATGCATATCCGACATCGAATGCTCCCCATCTGATGTTCGCTTTTTCTCCCATCCACCTCCCCAAGACCCCAACCCCAACTCGAGCCCTAATACTCATCATCATCGTCAATGTCCCCGTCGTCGTCGTCGTATCCCGTCTCATCGTACACCTCCTCCTCCGCCTCCTCCTCCTCCTCATCCCCGCCAATGAGGTCCTCATCATCGTCGGGCTCAACATCCCCCTTGCCCTCTCCCGCGCCGCCCACCCCTCCATCCCCTTTACTCTCGGAATCGGGCGACCCGGGCATGTCGAAGAGGCTCCGGATGGCGTCATAGTTGATCCTCGTCGAGAACGCCCGCTCCTTCATGACGTTCACGGCCGCCTCGGCCGGCGTGCTCGCGGGGCTCGTCTGCGCCTCCCCGATCCTCGGCTTCTTCCTCCGCCGCCTCGTCACCTTGGGCTTGTCCGCCTCCGCCTTCTTCCGGAACACTGCCTCCTGCTGCTTCCGCAGGAAGTCGCGGTTCTCGTTCACCCAGATCCGCTCCTTGACCACGGTCTCCTCGGGCGAGAGGAGGCAGTAGATCACCTCCGGGTCGT